AGTTATTTGCAGTTTCAGGTGAACATCTTCAATATCCTCTTCACCATGCGCTCTGCTAATTGTATCAGATACTACATAAAGATTTGAAGTAATTCCTGAGGGCTTCTCTTCTGTCAAATCAATGACATCGATAAGCCTGTTCCATTTCAATTCTACTTCTACTTCAAGATGCAAGATCACGCCAGAAGCAAGATGCGAATGCTACATCTGTTGCAGAAACTTTGTGTAAGTCATCTTTCTTCCTAGCCTCTTTACAGGAGCAATTGTAAAGTGCCGGTCCTCGATCTCATTAAACACTAATTTGAGTAGCTGCTGATCACCTACCTGCAGTACCCAATACCCAATACCCTACCTCGAATCCGTGGACGAAACTAGGATTTCTCGATAACTTTCAACCTGTTGCCGCGAGAAGAAATTCAGGTTATAGAAGCAAGGATGTAATGATTCGAAGGAAGCAGAATCACATACAAAAACTACCATCAAACTCCCTTCTCAAAGCTTTTGATTTGAAGATCATGCATCCAGGTGGTCATATGTTGGTGATACATATACGTCCACTGTGTACGGAGGTATTGTTGATCCTACGATTAAGGGCCTGCTGTTTACTACTTCTTACTGCTGTCGGTGTTCAATACTTGGACTATGCTTGAGATGGTGTTACTTCCTTTAATGTTATAATGTGAACTTTGTGTGCACATTCATTGCTTCGTGCGAACGATTTATTACCTCTCAATGGTTGCATTGTTTTGAAGAATTGTGCTATATTTTTTGTGAATTCGAAAAAGCTGCCTGGCTCATTGATTGAAGATGTGTTAGGTATTCTAAAGACTTTATGAATGATACTTACCTGCTGCGTGTTCAAGGTTGCTTACATCTAAGTGGCTTTAGACGATCAAGTCAGAGGTGAGTCGTCAACACTGGTGGGCTCACAAGACTACAATACTGATTCACGAACAGGTACATCACTGATCTGCCACGCCTCAAAAGTACATTCTCCATGCTCTCAACCGGAGTAATGATTCTATTAAGGAGTACCGCGACACCAATGCATCAAGGGGTGGTAACATGAAAACGAGATGTGAACATCGATACCGACGTCAAACTTCTGAACCTTGACATTCGTATCTCGGCACACTACAGAACTACCTCATACCACGATCAACACCAGCAATACTCGTACAAACATCAACGACTTTCAACCCGTCAAAATATTCAATCCGATAATTCTCCTACGGGAAATCTGGAGAAATTAGTGAGCCATTACATAACAATCTACGACTTCGCACCTTTACTAACATAAACCAGTCCACAACATCTCCATACTAATCAACGCCAACACTGCCCAGTAGCACCAACTCCTGTTCACAGCGAGCATTCATACAAACTTTCACTGTTGCCGTTATTGACAGTCCAGTTGCGTGCGTCGGCATTGATCTTTCTTCCGAGGAACGACTTCCTATTTCTCCTTGCGAAAGCTTGTTGGCGATATTTCTAGGATAGTATACCACGATCAACACCAGCAATGCGCTACTGGTACTAAGGAAGATTGATGGATGGTAGTGATTGTAGGTTTGAGAATGTTTGGAAGAGAGGGGAATGTGCTTATGGATTTGTAGTTCCGTCTTGCTTCGTCGTCTACAACCATCATTCAAGGTGGCATTCTCATCATGACCAACGCGATGGTGGTGGAGAATTCGCTGAGGTATGATTCTATCTCTATCTTTTACTCCCGAAATTTACAAAGCGCCAGCTAACATTATAAAAAGCCAAGCTCTACCTCGAAACCCATCATAATTTCTCACACTCTCGAAGTCGCATCCTTTCGTTCCAATACAAATTTATCTACCACCATCCTCCCTTCCAAACAGCAAATCCAGGCTCAAGGGAAAAACACAATATATCTCGAGAAACACAACTTCTCGCTCAACTACTCTTCAGATTGCAGCCTTGAGTCTTGGTTAGGAAAATTACAGGATGATTTGTTCGTGTCATGGTATCTTTAAAATCAAAATAATGGACTATGCTTCAAGCATGTTTCTAGCTCTGTCTACAGTTTTCCAATGAGCAATCTTAAAAATAAAGTATCGTATCGCTATATCTATATCTATATCTATAAACCCCACTGAACCTGTCCATCCCGGACATCAAGCAAATCCTAAACCCATCAAGCAACCATCAAGCAATCGCCATCCAAAAACCTATCAAAAACCCATACCATCCATGATCCCTCCCATCATCCTCTACATATCCAATGCGCCTTATACCCCTCAATCCCAATAAGTCTTCTCCTCTCCACCCTCCCACTAAACAGCCCACATTCTCCTCTGCAACCTCCAACCTCCAACCACCCCAGAACCCCGCCTCCCTCTTCACCCACTCAAACATCTTCTCTGCCTGTTCCAAAAACTTCATTATATCTAATCTAGCTCCTCCATGCAAAGCAATCAATTCCAAAAAAAAACAAAAAAAAAACAATAAGCGCCAGCAAACAACCCATCCTCTTCAAAAATTTCAAAGCGGAGAACTCGATGTATCCTGCTAAATGCCAGCGAGGAAAGTATTACATCAATAAAGTATTAATTAGCACCGATGTTACAAGATCATAGATATTCTATCCCCTAGTATTCATGATCGTGGAAGACATGAATTGAGGATTTGAATTTTGGGAGAAGTTGATTTTATAATTTTAGACGCGGTCTTTTATTTAGAAATGGGAAACTCACTACCTACCTACTTGTTCGTAGTGGACTCCGAAATGCACGATTGATGTTTATGTAGTTGTACCGTTGACATCTATCTACCTTCTCCTTCTCCTTCTCCAGCCCCATCAGTAGCACATTGACCTTCAGCACGCACACAATTCATCACTCTGCATACGCGGATTCACGATATCTCTAGATCTCATCTCATCTCTCGGAGTTTGAGCATGATGCACTGTTGGGGGACTTTAGTTGAATAGACCAATTTGATTGATTCCTGGTAACTACCCAAGTACCGCTTCGCTGAGTTTTAAAGACGGTATGTGGAGAGGAGGAGTGATTGGATGCAATATAACGGGATAGGTAAATACAAACAATCAACCAAATATTTGAAGAAGATCACAGAAAGAAAGAAATACTTCCCACCAGAATACGAGTCAAAGAAAACAAACAGCAAGAACACCCGCCTAGCTATAGAAGATCAATTCGAGGTGCTCTATATATTCCATACCTAAGTATCCTATGGTAAGATTATTTGTTGATAAATTGGAAAATTGGATTGGAGTGGAGATTTGACTACTTCGTGCTCGGCGCTTGTTTTTTAGGAGACTACCAACTGGGTGCTCTGAGATGAATAGTTTAGGAGTATATAGGTACTGGTATTGGGAGGTGCAGAATAGGTTTTGCTAGTAAATACAAGTGAAAAATGGTTGTCCTTGTTTCGACGGGATTGCGATTGAATAGCTGCTCAGTGGAGTGAGTATACTTGTCTTCTGATTCTGTCATGTATTGTTCTGAAGTTCAGGAACTCCGTGGCGATTGGAAACTCCTAAGTTGCGGGCCGGCGATCAATGTGTTGTAACCCAGGCCTGAACGTCATTCGTGATTTGATATACGAAAGACTATGGATACAGTTCTGTCATTCACGGCCATGAAACTTATTCGGCTCAATCCATACCTAAACATGCTCCGTTGTAGTATTCCTCATGCAGTCCCAAAACCTAGCAAAGGAGCTGTCTGAATCACATCGACACATAGTATTGTGTAGGTCAAACCGTATACCATTGAAACCCTTTTTAGACCCATCACAATGTGATTCCTCATATATGAGAGCATAGCGAAACCCCCAAAATCGTGCTTCCTTTTTCTCCTTCGCAAGCCTAATCCTCAGCGATTCTCAGGCTTGAAACCCTGAATTAGACATGCAATAAAATATTTGAGCTCAAGGACCGGTGCGACTGTGGCACGTGGAGTGAAGGTTGATGGATAGGTAGAGTGATGGGTGAAGAGCGGAGACAAGACTGAATCGATGAGTTGGGAAACGAAGACTAGTGAGGCTAGCATAAAGAAGTAAAGAAATCACTTAGCTTAGGTACTTGAGCGATATTTTATATATCAGCAAGCTAACTAGATATCTCAAGACATTACCTTTTTCTTTTCAGTCGCTAGACTTAGTCCTAGCTACTGTTGCTCCTGTTGCTGCAGCAGCTGCTTCACCGAAGGCAAGCTATGAGAACCACAATCCTCTCTTCTTCCAAATGCAGACTAAGAAGTTAATGAGCTAGGATGAAAAAATCCAGATATTCACTCGGCAATCCGTAGAAGTAAGGACGAGAGTCGATCACAGTTCGTTTTTAGAGTAATAAAAACCTGATATATCAATGCCGTGTTTGAGACTGTGCTCAGTGTGATGTATGTGGAATTCGCACATTCCCAGATCTTACTGCACCAGAATATGGGCGATCCGTTCTCCCTATTGCCACCTACATTGTTTAATCTATTCTCCCCAACTGCGGGATATGCTTGCTAGTGCAAGAGCTCATACTCTGTGTTTTGTTGATCTGAAAATGTAGTTTCGGATTGAGGTCGACATCGTGAGCTCTGCTTTGTGCCAATAGAGTTGCCATCCGGAGACTTGAGGATCTTTCGAAGTGGACTCATTTTTTGCTGCCCACTCGTTCCAAGCCTGGTTGTGTTCGCAGCTGTCGGAAAATCGCCTCGAAATCGTGAATTCGTGTTCTTTTCAAGAATATGTATATGTCGATCCACTACTTGTTAATTCCTCTAAAACCATGATATCTATATTTGGAAAAGGTAAGTTATCAGACTCATCTGCCGGCTCTTCCTGATATCGCATGCACTGCCAACCTCAAGCCCGACACGATATTGAGTTCCTCGTATTTTCAACTGTCGACCCGCTCTAGGTTGGGTATATCCGTGCGCTCGAATTAGCTGAGTTGGCTCATCTGAAGCTCGTTGTGGATTCAGTGTATCCGGAGCGTCGAGGGTAAAATCGAAAGCTCAGCCCATAAGAATTCCATCATTGAATAACCATCTGCGAACTTGAGCATCTCCCAAGCCTTGCGCCTTCCCACATGTCGATTGTTTCAAAATTCCATTTGTCGAAAGATCATCTGTCGAGTGCTGTGGAAATTTGTGCATCTGCAGTCACAAATTTACTTACGTTGACCCGATTCAAAGCCGCAATGTCGAGTTTGCAGACTCGTGATAAATACAGGCAAGTTCGAGCTCTACTCATATGTGTTGAAACTGTGAGCCCTCCATCGGGCGGATCTATCAAGGTTGTGTATTTCGAACCTATCCAACAGGTGTCAAGGTTGTAGCTTCAGTTTCGTCCAAGTAACATGTAAATCCGTTGAATTACTGTCTGCCTGCTCATCCAAATATTGAGTACCCCTAGCCTTAGACTCTCTCACCTATCGACTCACTCAGGAGTATTTATGTCGAGACACATGAATCGTGAGGGAATCATCATCAGACTCGATCTGCCGAGGACTTTCAAGGGCATTGGCTTCCCACCTTTGATCCCATCTGCAAAAAGGAATGTTCCGCCCACCTGAGCAAAAGGGTTGCGTGGAGGGATTCAGTTCGTTTACATCCATTAATAATAAAACATCGAATTGCCGTCGTTCAGCTCATCCTAAAACTGGGTATCTTTCCAGCCTCGAGTTTTCTTCCCCCGTTCTTTTCGTAGATGTATTGTGATAACAATTGGGGAGGTTGAGGGGTAGGTAATTTGACTCATGCCCCACCACCAACCAGCAATTTTTGTTCGTTTCATCTTGCGTCGAGCTTGCTGTGAGATAATGCAGCATCCAATGCATACCTTTGAAGAATGAATAAACTTACCGTCAACTTGACTGCGTTTGCGTGATACTCGAGTTCCCAACATGATTCAGACCGTTCATCTAAAGACAAATGAAACATCCATAACCATATTAAGGATGGATGGAATATGTAGTTCCATTGAATAATCTGACGCCAGACTCGTCGTGCAGGAAATGTCAAGAGATATAAAATTGATTGGGAATAAGTGGGGGTGAATGAATACTTTTTTTCTTTCTTTTCGAAACTCACATCATAATCTACAGTTTCGATTCCCATTTATCCACTGATATTCCATACTTCTCCTCACGTACCATGAAAATTTGCAAGAGAATGGATGCAGGTGATGCAACGATAACCCACTTGTCGTGAGAACACGGTGACACTTCATCAAATAGATCAAATCTTGAAGCCGTGAAGACCGCTCTTGCATCCAGTTGCATGATATCAAGATTGCCCCTCACTAAATTTGGTTGCCCCTCCACCAAAGATGTCAAAATGAATGAAAATTTGAGTCAAGGATTCTATCAAGATAGGAATTCACTAACCGCTTGTAAAGATCGTTGCCGCCAGATAATCCACACAGATTTCAATGATTCCACTTGGCTGCATGAAGTGTCAAAATTGAGTCGAAACGATTGGTTTTCATATAATCAAGATAAAACCTAATGTACTCGAGCGACGAAATGGTCTTGTAACATGTAAGCCTGAGCCATCCTGGGAGCCCAATGATCTTAATCGCCACATTTACCTCATTGCCTTTTTGCCAAACTTTCATTTTGTGGCCCGTTTGTGAATCTTTTTTTCACTTTTTTCTGCTGGGAAACTTTCTATTTGACTTTCATGGTTGATTTTTTTTTTGGATGATTTTCATGAGCTATCCATAGTACAGGACCTAGTCATACAGTAGTGATCCAGTAGTAATCCAGTAGTAATCCAGTAGATATAAATGAAAAGAGTGAATTTAGTAGATTAAAACCAATCCACTTTCAATATTCACCGAACCAGTCATACCGCCGCAAAGGACTGAAGATGGTGCTTTTTGGTTAGAGTCACATGATCATACCCCACTCACTAGCGTTCAAATTTGATCGCTTAGCCTACCGCACACTTGAACTTTTTTTTTATAAACCCCGCCATCCTCTCGCAACTCTTCTTCTTCCTTCTTCGTCGCACATACCTGGATTCAAGTAATCATATCTGTGCAGTAAGTTTAAATTCTTTCCATCTCTTCTTCTTCTTCTTCTCTTCTTCTTCTTTCATCAACCTTCTTGAAGATCGATCAACTAATATCATCTTCTTTCAATAGATTCAATTTAAGAAGACAAAACTTCCACAAATAACCATACAAATCTTTCAAAATGGGGTAAGTCTTACGATCCATCAAAGTTTTCCATCGGGATTATGCCTTATCCTTCGATCTACATCTTCATGAACTCTTTACTGATCTATTTCCTCTTTGCAGAAAGGAAAAGATACATATCAACGTCGTTGTCATCGGACACGTCGACTCCGGAAAGTCCACCACCACCGGTAAGCAACCCCGCTCGCAGACCTGCGAACCCGATCTTTGTATTCTTACGATCAATAACTTACATTGCACACAGGTCACTTGATTTACAAGTGCGGAGGAATTGACAAGCGTACCATCGAGAAGTTCGAGAAGGTGAGCATTCTTTCCCTTCTCTTTCTGCACATTCTTTGTTCGTGTACAGGTTGGGCATTGAGCACCCAACCTTACCGCACTGTGCCCCTCGGTGGGGTAAAGATTTTTTCCCTGTACTACTTGCAGAATTTTATTTGTGCGCTCGGACTTTTTTTGTCGAGCACAATAAAATTATCTGCGAGTAGTAGCACTTTGCAGTACATCGAACAAATTATGTCATCTTTGGACAACACCAATGTCTACAACATGCTGCTTCAACAGTCACTAATAACCATCATAGGAAGCTGCCGAACTCGGAAAGGGTTCCTTCAAGTACGCATGGGTTTTGGACAAGCTCAAGGCTGAGCGTGAACGTGGTATCACCATCGACATTGCTCTCTGGAAGTTCGAGACTCCCAAGTACTATGTTACCGTCATTGGTAAGTTGTCTACTGCTTCGCCTTGTATCTTTCAATTGTCTAACATCAATTCCAGATGCCCCTGGTCATCGTGATTTCATCAAGAACATGATTACTGGTACTTCTCAAGCTGATTGCGCTGTTCTCATCATTGCCGCTGGTACTGGTGAGTTCGAGGCTGGTATCTCCAAGGATGGCCAAACTCGTGAGCACGCTCTTCTTGCCTACACCCTTGGTGTTAAGCAACTCATTGTTGCCATCAACAAGATGGACACCACCAAGTGGTCCGAGGATCGTTACCAAGAAATTATCAAGGAGACCTCCAACTTCATCAAGAAGGTCGGATACAACCCAAAGACCGTTCCTTTCGTTCCTATCTCCGGTTTCAACGGTGATAACATGATCGACAACTCCACCAACTGCCCATGGTACAAGGGTTGGGAGAAGGAAGCCAAGGGAGGAGCCAAGTCCACCGGAAAGACTCTCCTCGAGGCCATCGATGCTATCGACCCACCTTCCCGCCCAACTGACAAGCCTCTCCGTCTCCCACTCCAAGATGTTTACAAGATTGGTGGTATTGGAACGGTGCCAGTCGGTCGTGTTGAGACCGGTATCATCAAGGCCGGTATGGTCGTTACCTTCGCCCCAGCTGGTGTCACCACTGAAGTCAAGTCCGTCGAGATGCACCACGAACAACTCGTTGAGGGTGTTCCAGGTGACAACGTCGGTTTCAACGTCAAGAACGTTTCCGTTAAGGAAATTAGACGTGGTAACGTTGCTGGTGACTCCAAGCAAGACCCACCTAAGGGTGCTGAGTCCTTCAATGCTCAAGTCATTGTCCTCAACCACCCTGGTCAAGTTGGTGCTGGTTACGCTCCAGTTTTGGATTGCCACACTGCCCACATTGCTTGCAAGTTCTCTGAGCTCCTCCAAAAGATTGATCGTCGTACCGGTAAATCCATTGAAGATTCTCCAAAATTCATCAAGTCTGGTGATGCTGCTATTGTCAAGATGGTTCCATCCAAGCCTATGTGTGTTGAGGCCTTCACTGAGTACCCACCACTTGGTCGTTTCGCCGTCCGTGACATGAGACAGACCGTCGCCGTAGGAGTAATTAAGTCCGTCGAGAAGCAAGAAAAGGCCGGTAAGGTTACCAAGGCCGCCGTCAAGGCTGGTGCTAAGAAATAAATGCAATAATGGAATGAAACAAAAAATTTCACCATGTTTGCTTTATTTCGGGTTCACGATGATTTATGGCTAGGATGCAAAACACCATTTCCTTTTACCTCCTCGGTTTACGATAAGATGATTGGGTTTGGGTTTGCGCGTAATGGTTTGACTCTTCCACGTTCTGGTACCATACATAGAACATAGTCGTCTAGAATGCACTTCAAAAGTAATTTGTCATTGTCCCTTGTCTTGTGATGTGATGTGATGCTCATGTCAATGTTAATTCGGCCCTGATGCCATTACTTTTGCCCATTCACCATATCAACAGTAACGACGAGATAAAGAGAGATGAAATAAAGAAACAGGGCAACGAGTGAATAGCTCCAGTCAATTTTTTCTCTAGTCGCCAAGCGATCATGGTGACAACAACCGTGTGTCAAGTTCTGAGAGGTGGTGCCTTGGAATGCCTACCGCCTAAGCCTACCCAATATTGGCAATAGGCTTCACATAATCTTTTATTCCTATCTCGAGTTCTGTTAATGAAACGTTGAAAATACCTGGATCATTTAGTAGTTACCTGGTCTCTATTGAATCAGCACATTGCTATTATGTTACTTCACCTCCAGCGAGTATATGTTTGTACTGCTATACCAAACGGCTATTATCATGAGGGTCGGACTATAGGGTGAGAATATTCAAGGAAATCCTCGTATGGAAGAAAGTTATCTCGTTGTTTTCGATGGTATGATCTTTTCATTCCACTTCGAACATATACTCGAGGAGATAAGTTCAAGGATGTATGTGTACAGTACTGTAGGAAATCGGATAGTGAGGTGGTGAGATGGTGAGATGGTGAGGTAGTGTGTATATTGTTGATTTCGAGTCGCGAGGTTCAATCTTTACTTGTATCGCGGACATCGTGGAGGGGAAGATGGGGGGGTCGAAGAGCTAGGGCCTAGATGACCTCGCGTGGCGAGGTTATTTGTAAGTTCGAGTTTTAAGTTTCTTTTGGATTTGATATTTATAATGCATGGTGTTTTCTTTGCGTTGCTCACGATCTTCGAGGAATAATTTTGTGGTTGGAGCACCAGTGGTCATAGGATACTCAAGAGGAAAAGCACAATTTCATATTACAAAGAGCTATTTTGAAAATTCGATTGAAATTCAAAATTTCAATTAATCTCTTTGAAAATCAAATATATATATAAATCTCAAATATAAATACTCTATAATATTTTGAAATTGAATTTAAAAAATTAATATTAATATTCTTATAGAAGAATATATAATTTTTTATTAAAAATTTTAATAAGAAAATATATTATTTGTCTTTTCAGTTTAAATTTTTTTTTTGAGATAAATTATTAAAAGAATATTTTTCAATATTTGAAAAGTACATTTTTGTATTTTGATTAATATTAAATTGTTTTTCAAACTTTGATTGAATTTTGAAGTTAATAGATTTGAATGTGAAATTGTACTTTTGTTTTATGTTGTCCCGTGAGTCTATGCACCCACTGGTGGAGGGAGAGCTGGGGATGACCTCGCCGGGCAAGGTTAGATGTTCTTTGCGACAGTTTGGGATTTTTAATCTTACTTGGAATTAGGTATTCATAAGAATGTTTCCTTTATGTTGCTCCAAATCTTTTAAAAATAATTCTAAGGTCGGAGATCGGGTGATGAAGACCTCGCCCGGCGAGGTTGTCTGTGTTCTTAGAGATAGTTAGGAGTTTGATATTTCTAATAATGTTTTCTTTAATGCTGTTCTAAATAATTTGAGAAATGTCCTCGGAAAATCTCTCAAGTCGGGGATTTTGGTGATGAGCTTGTTGGGCGAGGTTATGTTTTCTTCGCGACTGTTTGGGATATGGGGCGGAGGAGGCTGTTGAAGTTGCTGGTAGGTAGGTGCTTTTTTGTTTGCTGGTGTTGGCGCTGGTGCCGGTTTGGAGATTTGGAAGGGTGAGAAGGGAGTAGGGATGGGTTGGGTGGTGGTGGGATGACTGTTGTCAGTGGGTGCTTGGAGGGGTTTTATGTTAGTATATTTGGATTTATGAGAGGGGGTTTCTGGGTCTTTGACTCCTTGACTCTTTGCAAGAGATGAAATCTGGTGCTTTGGGGATTTCGTAATAGAAGGGAAGGGGAATCATTTGGAGTTGATTTGGAGCGTGGAGGTAGAAGGTGGAGTGAGGTCTATGGTTTGGACTCTGGAGGTGGAATTTGATGTGGGTCGGCTTTGATGATTATTGTTTTGGATAATGAGTATTGTCAAAGAATATTCTTTACTTAAATCAGACATCTTGTAATAAGGCAGCGGGCGTTGAGACTCCAACTACACCTGCGGACTTTGACACAAAGGACGCTCCCCAATCTCAGCATAAGAATCATGTCGCATGTCTTGGAGTTGAGACTTGATTCAGCCTTACATCTTGGATTTCTTTTTATATTCATAATGAATAACATTTTGTTTCAAAAGTTTCTTTCGTATTGAAAATAATGTATCATACTATTATCGCAAAAGTTTCAACATAAGCAGTGCCATTGTCATTGTACGTGTTGTTTCTGGGACATTGATGTATTCCGAAGGAAGAATTGTTCGGTCTATATAACCCGCTCTGCGGCTTGGTTTTTGCCAGATTCCCAAGATATCTCTATTCGAATTCAGGATCTTAGGGATCTCCAATAAATATCGACTTCATATAATCTACATCCTCAATATACTACTCATTCAGTCAACCGAAAGTCCAAACTTCACATTTATCATCTCCTATTCTGAAGCATAGGACTCCTACTTCGTCATAGTAGCTCTCAAATAAACCATGTCAAGTAACCTTCACCCAGTGGATATAAAACCCGTAGTCGTCAAGGACATCCGTGCTGGATGTATTTTATGGCTTCCACCTCTCGAGCACACCTCCAAGTTCACTTGCGAGCAACACTCGCGTCTCTGTCAATCCAATTGTCAATTAAACAACGGAGGATACAATCATCCCATACTAGTAACCGGCATAAAATATTACGGAAAGGCACTTAAAGTTACCTTTATCACAGTAATAATTCTCAACATGGCAGCTTCCTATTGAATACTCGCTAACTCAGAATGGATGACGAGTACACCTATGAGTAACGATGGCTAGTCTCACTACCACCCATTGGACATGATTTCAAGAATAACTTCATGTCCGAAGCTCGATCGAGATATTGGTTAAGAGGAGGGAGATTGATAAACAAACTTACTTACTTAAGTTTGTTCCACACATACACAAAATTCATCACACAGGACCAACCATATTTCGGCATCTTTGGGAAGAATGGAAATACAAAGACTAGTGATCATTGTTTGGATGGAGCGTCAATGGCAAGATTGCGAAATAGACTGTCAATACCACCTGCTCTTCCATGGCCTTATACGTCAGAGCACCCAGATCCAGTAAGAGCCGAAGTATCGATGTCAATCGAAGACACGAGTGCTAGCCACAGCGAATCGCAAGCTGTAATTGATGAAGATTTTCGAAGATCTAGCTCCAACTCAGATAAAACTCACAGCCCCGAGCAGACTCAATTACCGGTAAATACCCATCAAGATTTTATATATTACCCGCAGCCCCCCTTCCGAAACCTGTCTTCGCATCAGCCAGATTTCAAGGGATATTTGATGGCAAGTCATATTTCCAGTAAGTTCTCCATTCTCAAAGCTCATTAATACTCGAAAATAGAAGTCAAACTAATTTGAGTTAGATGATATCTCATGGCATATTGCAAATATGCGCCAACAGCTCATAGCGCTTTGTGATACGTTTCGTGTATTTGATTCTCTTAATGCTATGCAGTTCCGTAGGTAGACGCGAGCGGAGATTATTACTAATGGTTTGGCGCATAGTGGTGGAAATGTGTCTGTGGTGCTCAAAGCTCCGAATCCTTCTGGTCCGAGTTTCTTTAGGCTAATCTTGCCGGGCGAGGTCATCTGCAATTCCTTGAATCGAAGCAAGCGCAAATTAGATGCTATGAGTTTCATTCTACAGGTTCTTTCTGGGAAGTTATATAACTGAAACTGGCGTCTAGAAGTTTTGTTGTCTGTATGGGATTGGATGAGATGGGGTGCGAATGATGTTTTCATGTGAAGTTGTAGCTGCAGTGAGCTGGGAGTTTGTTAGAAGTCTATCTAGTGGATGAAAAAAATTCTTATGTACGAGTATGAAAACCAAACATAATATATAACATACTCAAAACAAATGACGCGCCCAAAATTGAATCCATGTGCAATGTTACATGCCATATTACGCTATACAATACTCATTATACTTCGAACTATCCAATATGTAGCTATTCATACCCCTTCACGACTTGGATTCGCTAAAGAAAATAGTTCCAATAAATATTCAAACCCAAACTCCCCAAATACATATACCCCTCAAAATTCCTCGCTAAATCAATTGCTTCTTTCCAAATTTCAATCCATCGTCACATTTGTTCCAACAGTCTCATATTCTCTGACCTCTTATTCAGAAATTACTTCCCATACAACCACCAAACAAATCCTCCCAATCCCAAAAATGCAACCACAAGCTGCACAAACAAACCACCCTCATATCTCTCCCCTTCTCCTCCATTCCCATTCCCATTCCCATTCCCGCTCCTACCACCATATCTTCCACCCTCCAAATCATGAGTCCGAGAATTACTATTGCGTATCCTTGCATCCCAATGCGAACGATCATATCTTTCGACTGACGGAAGCGCAACGTGGTGCGTTGGACGTGAGGGACAGGATGGAACATTAGTATGATATTGTTGATGTCCTGTTTGCAAAGGTGGGGAAGGCGATGGAGAGGGCGGAAGATGGGAGGGAATTGGATATGATTGCTGGAGGAGAGATTGGCGTTCGTTCGCGAGACTCGTTGCACGGCTATAGGTGTACCATCCTGGTGATGGGGTGGTGGGAACCGTGTGTGTTTGTAGAGTTGTTTGCGGAAGATGGGGGAAATCTGTAGATGGGATTGGTTCGGATAGTCTTCTCTGATCCAGAGATCGTCCGGTGCCTTCGGAGCTTTGCTGCGAAGCCATTATGTTCCCTCTGATTTCCTCCCATGGATCTCTGAATGTAACTCTCGGTCCCTTCTGTTCCCTTCTCCTCTCGGCATTCGCGTTTCCTTCATTCCCCTTCATAACAACAGTATCTATCCATTCCACTCTATCCTTATCCATATCGAATACCCCAATCAAATCCAAATAACTCTTTTCACAAAGTCTCTTATCAAAAGCTCTGGATTCTGGGTGAAAACCATAGGCACGGAGTGTTGAGAAGGGGATTGGGTGAATATGTTCAGTGACGATGAAGGATGGTTGTTTCAATTTCTTTCCTGCTTCGAGATAGAGTTTCATTTGGGAATCAGTATCTGGGGTTTCTGGATCTTGAGGGGTTTGAGATATGGCGATGCGGGTTTTCTGGTTGTATTTTTGACGGGGTTTGGATGTCATCTAGCGGTGATGATATATTGTTAGTTTCTCCTCGACATTCACCATTGGTTCCTCCCCAACAACAACTTTGAACATATGAAAAAGGAGATTCTCTACCATAGCAACAGAACAAATATCTCCCTCATGCTCCAAAATCACAACCGGATGATTATACCCCTCATCATCCAAGCATCTCCCATTACAACAACTTTTCCCACGCTTACAAACTAAACCACCATCGCATTCCAATTTCGACGGAAGCCATACTATACAACCGACACAAATATCATTTTTCTTCAAACTTGGACGAATACCAACCCCAGAATGTGTTTCGTGGGGTGGACTACGTCGGGAAATGCGGGTTGCATGACGACTACGTGTGCGAGGCATTCAATTAATTATAGAAGCTCAGAATTTCGACTTAAATATGGAGACAAGGATAAAAACAAAACGATAACAAAAACAGAAGAAACACAATACGATATATCAACAAGAAAGGAAGCAAGTGACGCATCTCCCCATTTATCCCTCCCCGCCCCTGTACCACCTGTGCGCCCAGCTGTGCGACATCGACAAGCTGCACTGCCTATTCAGCGCTGAACGTGGGGGATTCGTGGCCAATGAAGTTTTGTTTGTGAGTAATGAATGGATGGGATTTGATGATGGTCGGTTTCTGTGCCACAGTGACCTTTTGGGAGACCTTTGTGTTTGGCTTTTTGTTAGGCTGATTTTGGGAAGGGCTGATGGGGTGGCAGGTTTGTGAGGGGGTGAAACGTGATAGGTATGGGGTTTGGCGATGTGGTTGTATTTGGAGATGGTTTTGAGGCTGAGAGGTTGGTGAAAAGTTTCTATGGCATTGGCAGGTTAATTGTTGCGATGTTTTTCTGGGTAAGGTTGGGGAGTTTCGAGGGTAAATCGATTTTCGCGATGAGATTGAATTATTAACGTGAAGAATACCCAACACCAGTATGTTTTCGTCAACTCTATGATGATACATGTGTGAGAACGAAGGAGTTTAGATTGCTGTGATGTTGTATCTAAATTACAGACGCAACTGCCAAACTATGAATCGAGATAATATTGCCTCCGTCGGTGGGAATTTTTAAGGCTGACACATGCTTGCTTTTCATCTAAATTACTTTGCATCTTCATCATCTGTATTGATTCCTGTAGTGATAAGTTATAAATCCTTATGCTTCTTCTGCTTCTTCTGCCAGTCTATCAACTATTTCGTCGTCTTTTTCATCCCGTCATAAACCTTCAGTCCTGTATGTCGCTATCATATATTATGTCTTGTCCATCACACCATTCCTTTTCAATATCGATAGAAGAATCACCTCCAACACCAACCTTGACACCTGTGAAGACCATATCCTCCTTCCAAGTCTTGTAAAGATCGCCCCCGAAGGTACCGATCAATGTTGTACCTAAGGGTTCGCCGAACATAATCGAACAAAGATACTGACCTGGGACAGGCTCGCTATCTGCTTTGTATTCACCGCGCCATCGATAATTCCATGTTGGATTTTGGAGAGAAGGCTTCTCTGTGGCAGGAAATAAGAAGATTTCCGGTGTAGATTTGCACAAAAGGCGTTTGGCACTGGGCCTTGTAAATCCCATATCGTTATAATTGCCATCTTTCTTCTCTTTCTCGGCCTTCTTGAAAGTGATCTTTCCTCGCTTGACATTCGGATGAGCTAGTCTAGCCGACTTCATCTCAGTAGTTGGATACTGCTGTTCAAACCGCAATAGACCCGATACCCCACCGAAATCAAACTCACCAAACATTTCGCATTTATCATCAGATTTTTTAATATAAATCTTAAGTGTGAGAGGAGTGGACCATCTCCTTTCCATTTCCAAGCACGATATATGCCAATCTCCAGTTACATCCCAGGTTTTGTCGTCTGATGCGCGGATCACATCATGATGGGCTTCGCTAATAATTTCTCGAGCATTGTTGATAGCTTCTCGGGCCTTTTTAATAGCTTTGCCTCGGATCTGATGTATCATTTGAAGTCGATTATTGACAGCAGATCTAGTTCTGCCTATTGCTATATGGATGAGTGAGCAAAGGTCTCTTTGTGATGGTGGTTCGTCGAATTTTGAAACTTCCAAGGATTCATATATGAGACCGAGTGATAGAGCAGCCTTTCGAATCTCGGCTACTGATGATGTGTCAGTTGTCATGAAAACAGTATATTCTCGTTTAGAATCCAAAACTATCGGGAACCTTTCTCTCAAGAACTTTTCTAGGTTCTGGCGAGCTTTCTCAAGATCGTCTAATTCGTTATTCCATTTTTTCTCCTCTCTGACCTCTGCTTTCCGTTTCTCATCCTCCAATTCTTCTCTCATTGCAATATATCGTGTCTGGTAATAATCCCGCATTTGCATTTCCAATGCAACCAGTTTTGGCACCATTGGCTTATGTCCATCTTTTTGCAGCCTATCTATCATTTCATAGATTATTCCGGTTCTTTTAAGGCCTCTAAATAGACATTGAGCTTTCCAAAAGGACTCTGACCGCGTTCCACCCCCATCAGCAGATGGAAATCGTGTTTCGAGGTTAGAATCAAAGGTATGGCTGCTTGATTTCATCCCGTAACCATCGTAGATTAACTTATTGTTGCCAAACTTTCTTTCTATTGGAAGTATTTTCCTCCTGATGGAGGAATCTAATGGGTCGATATCGCTCATGATAATTCAGCTATATCGGAGGAAGTGAGGTTAGAAAACAAATATTAGACCAAATAGAAAGATGAGTATATTGATCGAGGAACGAAACATACGTTTTCTTTCCGAGCTGAGCGTTATAGAGCTGATTGTGTTGATTGCAACTATCAAGTACTCTTATAAAGGATCCCGAAGTGGTTGCGTGAAATACGAGTTGTTTGATGGCACATATATCTCATTGATACGGCTGGGATGGCCAGTAGATGACCATACAGTAGTTCTAAAAGGCTAGGATACTGAAGCCAATTGATGAGGAAAAGAGACATGATTCGAGTTACTCGATATATAGATAGAAAACAATATCAAATGTACACGGAACATGCCCTGAAGTAAGTTGATAGGTTACCACCGGGTCTTTACGTGTATCCCTAGCCCTCAAAGTTGAGGATTTGTGAGTCGAGGTCTGAGGCATTCTATAATTACTATTGTGATGAAATACCCTGTCTAGTTACGGGAAATTGCTGTGTTATATTTCAGCGACAAGGAACTTGGTGGCAGCTGAGAGGCTGTATTAGATCTATTTAGAGTTGTAATGGATGGATGGCATGAGTAAAATAGGTAGAGATACCTCGACGTCTGGCTTGACATCATGTCAGGGATTCAAACGATAAAACTTATTGCAAAAAGTCGCCGAAAGACAGAGTGCTTGAGTGAATGGCGTGTTGGCTATATCACCATCATCTTTGTACATATGAGTCTGACTCGCTCTCAGATTCCGATAACGCTCCTTTACTTCTCTGTGTACTACTATTGATTATAAAGAATGAACTTTCTTTTCAATAAAATATATAACTATAACGATCATGCATAAATTGTCATCGAAATATATAAAAGAAATTAATTTATATATTTTCCTTATTTATATATATTCCTAGCTTTAAATCTTTTCTATCTTTTTTATTTAATCTATTATATTATAGAAGTTAAATATAACTTATAGACTTATCTAAGTAAACTTACTTTTAACCTTATATAAACAAGATTAGTCTTTCTTTTATTTCTATTTCTTAATTTTTTATTTTAATTATCTTATTATATAAGCTTTTAATTCTAATGTGAATTTTTTTATTAAGTACTTTTAAAAGTTAGATAATATAGTTCATCAGTATATAAATTATATTACTATGAGTTACTTTATTTTATATATAAAATTCGTCTATACGTAACCGTACACTTTCTTTATTAATCAATGAAATCTTTCAAAAACTTCTCATATAAAACCTAACTTTTCAACTATTTTAAAAATCTAATTCTTTTTTAAAATTTTAATTATTATTAAAGTTATTAAAGAAAAAGAGTTTCTATAACGTAGAGTATAACAATTTCAAGCTAAAATGAATTATCTAAAGAAATCTAAATATTCTATTTTTATTATGATTTTTTATAAATTTTTCTTTTAAAAATAATAATTAATTATTAAAATATAAATATCAAGAAACCCTTGATTTTAGTACATTTTCGAAGTTGTGGCACGCTACCCTGTAGCGTAGCTTACATAACGAACACCTACAAATAGCATAGTTTCTCTAGATAGTAATAGGACAGCTTTTACAACTCTACAATATTTGCCTCTCAATTGGTAGCAAGTCCTAATGAATACAATCTTTTCTAGTCGGATACTTCCTTTCGATTAAGCGGATTCGAAGGAGTCTCTGATGAAGCACTACTGGGAACCCCCGGATATCGAATCTCTATTTCGATCTATCGATTTATGAAGGCGGAGATTGTTACGCAAGCTTATCAATTACTTGCTTTCCTTCAATCTAAACATCAATTTGGCAAAATAATCCCTGAGAAGTTACAAACCATTATCGAGAATATCTGCAAGAATAATACGACAGCCTCAGAGCGGATACAAAACTTACACGAGGCGGAGACGCGACGGAATAAATCTCCTCTTAACACTTACCCATCCCAGCTCAAAGCAGGAGATTTTCTTCACAACACAACCAACTCTACTGTAACGCGTGTCCGACAGCTCTGGTGTTGCGCCTGGACTCTTCTCTTTCTATTTGAGTTGTTCGATCTAAAGCAGAATCGAAGACCACAACTCCCCTTAGATACTCACCAGCTACTCCAACTTTTCTAGATCCTGAGCAGGATAAAAATTGAATTGAATACATCCCACGCTACATCTTCGTTTGTAGTATTGAAGGGAAAGCTACGAAATTCAGAGCTTGGGATTCACAGATTTTGGCTATCGAAAACCTTGCGCCATCCTCTTTTTCTCTTTTCATTTTTGGCCTACTTTTTACAAAGCAACTTCCTGTATGTATCATGTTTTACCCCGCGATGCCCCTTTCACGGCACTGTAAATCGATATTCGCCTAAAATATCAAATCATAATACTCCTCTCTATCCCGATGTAACAAAGAGATCCTCGGAATAGGATATCCTAGATATGTGGTTATAAAAACTTACAACTATGCAATCAGCATGGATAGTAACCAGCTACAGAATGAGCAAATTTGGCCTATTGAACGAGAATGCGCTCAGCAACGCCCAATCAGCCTCCGATTATGAGCAGGACATGAAAAGGAAGTGAATCACTCCAGATCTCTCACATGAATACTTTGCTGTCGCTAAATAGCATCCTCGTCAACACATACTAGCACTGTCATTGTTATCCTTCACCATCATAATCTAGACTCTCAATTTATCCTCAAGAAAATATTCACTTATTTTATCTTACAGTAGGAGTTGTTCTGCTTCGTGCACAGCCCCTTTTAATATATCATTACACCAATTCAATTCCCCGGCAAGGGAACAACACCCCGTTTGTCAGAGGACCTAGCATTTCTAGGTCGAGTTTGAGCGTGGTTGGAAGATTCTATCCTCTCTTAAATACCACACACATTCAAATTTCTGCGCACCTTACAACCCAAGTATCGATCAATATAGCATTAGCTAAAAAAATTCACTTTCCAGCCTTATCTAGCACTTGCTTGTCATGTGAGTACAGATACTTATTAAGTAACGATGAGTTTCTGCGATATGGAATAAAACTTTAGAAGTGATTACAAGAGGCCATCTAGCATGTACATTTAACACCGTGGGGTATTTCGCGCGGACACCTTTGTAGTAGAGCCAACTCAACATGGCTTTGTACCTCATTTGATACCACGCGACACACTTCCCACATTCACAAGATCATTTGGAGCCTTCACACAAGTGGCAAAGCTTATCATTTATCAACTGTATTTTGAGCAATCACAAGCTGTGATATGCATATATTGATAGTCTGCATCATTATCAGAAACTCGCAGCACAGGATATCCGCTTTTCGACACGCTCATGCACATTCCCTTACCACATTCTCACTTTTCTTTTCTACTCTTTCAAATCCTTCTCTACTTGATCTCTACAAATTGGATGATAGAAATCCTTGTTCTTCTCAAAGGTTTCCACGGCCAACTTTCTATCAACAACGACCAATTTTCTGTAAAGTGTTCGAACGAACTTCATTCTACCAACCTTGCCCAACAACTCTGCAGTAGGTTGATATACTGATTCATCATTTGCAGCTAAGCCAACACCAAAATAGCGGGAGCTAAGTTCGACGTTTTTAGTATTGACAAGATCATAAGCTTTACCCATTGCTTGACTTTGAGCTGAGGTGAGAGGGGTAGTGAAGAGTTGGACCTGTTGGAGGAAGACAACTACTTGGTTTGCGGCCCAACCTTCAATATCGGATGGGGAGGGTGTGAAATCCTAAAGGAATTAGTTTCTGAACCGTGACGTAGTGTAACACATGATTTACCTTTGATTCCCATTTCTTTGCTAGAGCATAGCATTTGTCGACCAAGCTTGTATCAAAATCTGGCTTTGGGGGAAGACCTGGCTTGTAGAACCAAGAATCCCAATCAACCGACTCGAGAGCTTTAGTAGCAGTTGAATCGGAAGCGAAGAAATCAAGAAGCGTGGCCTTAAAATCATAAGAGTCGAGAGACTTCTTCTTCCAAGTGGTGAAATAATGTGGGATGAATTTATCCCAGGATGGTTTACCTACAAGTCTCTCAAGATAGTAGAGGAAATGGAAACCCTGGTTAAATTAGACTTCTAGCCCTGAAATGAAATCACTGGAATTACCCACCTTCTCATATGGAACACTGCTAAAGGCATCATCTGGGTCCTTACCCTTCAGATCGACAACCAACTTGGTGAATTCATGATCTTCGCCATAGAGTTTGACAGAATCCTCTGTATTTGAATATTAGCTTTTGAGATTTTGCATCCAAAAGTATGACTTACCAAGAGCTTTCCACCCGATAATGGAAGAGAAGTCTCTATATGCTTCACCATGAACAGCAGCAATGATTCTTCTTTCTAAATAGACTGTCCACCCCTCGTTCAACCAGCTATATAAATGTTAGTTGAATAATCTCCATCTGCAATAAATTCTCCATCTTCGTAAGAATAATAGCAAGTAAAGAGATTTGTGAAATTCTCAGAACCTACAAATGTTCCCAACTAGCATTGGAGACCAAGTTACCACTCCAACTATGAGCCAACTCATGAGCAATCACATCAACATTTTCTCTATCTCCACTAATAATAGTAGGAGTAGCAAAAGTAAATACTGGATTTTCCATGCCACCATAAGGGAAACTTGGTGGTAAGACCAAAACATTGTATTGGGTCCATTCGTAAGGATAGACGATTTTCTCTATAGTCTCAATAAACTTCTCAGTATCTCTCTCGAGTTCCCATTTAGCACCAATGAGTTCTTCTGGACCAGTAGAAACGAGGGAACGTGGACCGATAGATGCAGTAGCAATGTCACCTGATGCGAGAGCAAAGAGATAAGATGGCATAGGAATTTCTTGGTAAAAGGAGTAGAGAAGAGTTCCGGATTCTCCATTTTCGCCATGAACAAATGAGGTTGCACCACGGGGCAAGCCACTGGCAAGAACGGGAAGAGGAGAGCGAATACGGAAATCATATGTGCTCTTTACATCAGGAGTGTCTTGACACGGGAAGATCGAGCGGTTATGAATGGCTTGGCATTGAGAGAACATGTATGGGAACTTTTTGTTCGAGGTCTGAGCGGGAGTGAGCCATTGGAGAGCTGTGCATTTGTCGGTAGTTGATAGCGTAATGTCGAGTGCAATGATAGTACCCTTTGCTGCTCCACCGGGGACCTTCACAGAAAGAGGACTGCCGAATGGTTCAATGCGTTTTTGGAGAGTCCATTCACCAGTCTTATTTCCGTCAACTGCAACATTTTGCACATCAACGAAACTAGTATCGAGGATTATCTCTTCAGATTCCTTATCCGTAATAGATTCAAGCTGTAGTGTAACTGTGCCATGAACTCGCTGTTTCGTGAAATCAATGGCCAAATCGGCGATAGTATGCTTCGTTCTCCAATTGTTGTAATTTGACAAGGTGTTTGGATCACGTGGCATGTTGATGGTAGAAACTGAAGCCATCGTACGAACTGTCACCATTGTTTGACGGGCTGATACTATTCGAGGTGCAGATGTGATGATACTGCGTCCGACAGAGAGCAAGGTATTCATATATCGGGAACCCCTATTGGATGGGATAAGGTAATTCTGTTGCCGGACCAAACTTGAGCTTACTGGCGTTGGTCGGTGAAGGTCAAAGATTTCTTTCTGGGTTTGTGTTGATTGTCTTTTGGTTGGAAGGTGGGAGGGGTAAGGTTAATCACGATGTCGGGCCTCAGGCCTCAATGTATGAATGACCTCGGGATCTACATGGTCACATGATATGCCGTGGATTCCTATTATGGCTAGCACCTTCCGATAATACTGTTTGTTTTCTTCCCCTTCCTCCTGAAGTCCGAGAAGGCCCAAATCTCTTTCATCCATATCACTCACATTAGCCGGCACACGCAAAGTTTGATCAGCCGAGAAATGTGTGGATCTAGGAACAGATCTAGAAGGATTTGGAAACCGGCCAGAAGGATCTATCTGTCAGGTTCAAATTGAAATCGAACTGTAATTTCCATTTGCCGTGTTTCATGGCTTTCAATTGTTATAGAGAGGAGGATTTGAGGGGGTTTTCACGATGTTCCATATGGTGAATGAGGACGGAGGAGGTAGGTACCAAGGTATAGTGTTGTATGTGTCATACCTACTACAAACCCCCGAATACGAAAGAAATTCACGGAAAGTCTCATCCAGAATAGACCGCAGACATGGTATCGGTTATATGTACAATCATCGCGTACAAAGGAGCTTTACCGGGAAGAAATGCGGTCTGGAAACTCTCTTCTGCAGGCTGCAAGCTGCGGCTGGTCGCATCACAGTGACCTATGATTCATTCCCATTATCCAAATAACCATAGAATATGGTAACTATGTACGGTTAAAAGTACCAGAATTAGCGAGGTGCTTGAATCATCATCCCATCAAGTTTTCTATCCCCGGCCGGGTCAGGAACTTTGTACCTTCCTCACTCAATACCCAGATCCGGGCTCCCCCGCTCAGTCTCAGAGATATGAACTACAATCAAATCTATTTGACATACTTGATAGCGGCAAATTAAGCTTGAGGGGAAACAATAGTGGGAAGGGATGTGTAGTTTGAGTTCTGGAATGGTGGATGGAGCATCTTCAAAAATCTAAGGCAAGGTACAGACACGATAAGGACGAACTGGACTGAAACTTTGGATTCTCGTAGGTGGATCCTGGTGACAGCTCAATTGCCATATGTATTGCTGAATTATACTTTGATGTGACGATATAACAATGGACCTGGGGTATATTAGATATGTGAATAGTGATATGAATGGACAGATGCAGTTATGTTATAGGGGACCACGAGGGTAATAGTTTGAAGGGGAACTTATGAAGCTATCCCAGGGGTCTAGGAAGAAGTTCTAAAGAACCCAACAAATTTTGATAATATATCCAATTATGAATCAGTATCTCCGAATAATTCGTCGACGATGTGAAGCTTTGAATACGCTTGGTAGCAGATGAAAACATATTGATATGGAAGCACGAATGCGAAGAAGAGGGGAAATTGTGAATACATTAAGTCATTCTTAGCATACGTATCAATCACAGTCACCCGCGAGCTTTCTAATCCAAATATCTCCTTACGCCTTCTCGCACAGATATCAATCTCAATGTAATCAAAAATCTCCTAAATTATGCTTGATGAGTATTCTCCACTTCCTCCAATACTTGCCGTTCCCACTTTCACTCCACGGTACCTGACGACCCACGCGAGCCCACGTTCTCAAACATACATCGTGATAAAAGGCAGCTCAAAGAGTCCGTATTTGAAAATTTCCTTCCCCTTCATCCTTCCACATAGCCACAGTACTCCACCATCGTCGTGCTTCAGATTTTAATTGGTTTACTGGCGTGGTATCGAAAAGTCGGAAGTTCCTCATATATTTTGTTGACGTGTTTCGAACCATGGGCTTGGCACCAATGCATATCCCATGCTGACCCCGATTTTTCGGGGTGGGAGACTAGACTGGTTACAGCTGATCGACTTTTCCATCATGCTGGGAGGTATTTATCCTGAAGTTTCTGGGATATTTCGTTATCGGTGTTATTACTATAGGGCGAGAGGGCCAAGTCTTCAGGGTTCAACGCCGGAAGGAAGGTTTAAGCACGGAATGTTGACAATAGTTTGTATTTGTCTTTTGATGAGATTCGTATCGAATCTCGCTGTGTTACTCGTCGCATGGAGGGGCGGGGAAAGTTTTCCTGTCTGCAAAAGGTCAAGATTGTGATATAATCGTACGATTTAGACGAACCTAGATACCTGTCGACGGAGAATCTTTCTCAATTTGGATTGAAGAATTTAGATGCATGATGTTCAATTCAAAGGCCTTTTTTGTGCATGATATTCATTGTTGACACTGGCAGATGTTTCGCTATCTACAAACAAAGTGTCACTGTAGAGAATTACATCAAGGAGCTACGGAGAATTAATGATGAATTATTGATAAACATTAAGTGTTTCTAATTTGGTACGTGTTGAACAGAATTAGACTTAGGAGGAACTAGACTAGAGACTCCATTTCATGATGATGTTCCTTCCCGCAAGCAAAAATTCATGAAAAGATACGTGAGGAGGATCTATCTCATGGCACCTTCAATATTCATTTGTATGACGGGCTATTGTTCTCGTTACAGAAGCCATGTGCTAACGGTTACGTGATAGGCCAAATATAGCACTTCGATACCGTTGTAAGAACAATTGAGACTCAATTATGATATTCGGGATGACATTGAAGAAAGCGATGCAGTATGGATATGGAAAGTGCTTTTCCAAGAAAACACAGTTTCAAGACTATGTGAACAGTAGGATTAGATTAATTCATAATCAATCATGGGGATGAATTCAAAACGAACCTGGAAGTATTGTTCCGTTCCTCGATCAGAAATACAAGTATGTTTTGAATCATGAAGTCGAAGTGATATAGGTCTGACTCGCAAAATTGTAATTTAGCGTGATCTGTAGGATTTTGCCCCTTTATGTATCGGGAACCGCAAAAGACGAAAGATGAGATGAAGATGTGAGGTCTAAAACAAACGCAGGAAGTTAAAAAACAACACCTGAGTTAAAGAGTACCCGCATACAGAGGTGTGAGAAGAGTACATTACTGCTACTGCGAAGTCGCACAACTTCGCCGTTCTTCATACCGGCTCTTGTTAGATTACCATGAAGTCTAATATTGACAAGGAAAATGTAGAGATGGAAAGACTAGACGAAACATGCACCCCGAGTATCAATGAAGCTGTTGATCAAATGCTTGTTCGGCATCGCTTATAGGCTTGTGTAATAAAATGACATCCGTTAAGGGGTCTATTTGTTGTATTATAGGCATTGGATGAAAAATGCGTAGTACCGTGTGTTTATAATATATGTGCTATTGACAAGCTTTAGGGTTCTAAACTCTGGTATATGAGTTCCTATTGGTGACCGTTATACTGATGTGCGAATTTGTGGGGGAATACCTGGTCGACGACGTTTGGAAAATATAATCTTTCGTTTAATATCTCGTTGTTCATCAATCCGGACGACTTCTTAGGTTGCGATACCCCCTTATAATTCTTATTAAGATTTTGAATTAATCGCCTAATCACCTAATCGTCTAATTCTCTGATTGATCTCAGAATGACGTTCAATCACATAATTCTCGCGTGAGGTCTTGGAGGGGCAATAAAGTAAAGATTAAGCATCGGGATTTTCCCAACTCTCCACATTTACACTTTCCAGCTCGCACTCAAGCTTTTCACAATCCTGACCACTTCTCGTGGCAGAGAGATCCAGAACAGGAGGAATAGATTTTGTCCAACGGGATATTTGCAAAACACTTTCTCAGGAGAATTATCCTAGAATAGCAAGTAATCCGGATGAGTAACAAGGTAATGACTTCCATTTGTAAGGATATCTAGGTCATCATGACCAATATAGAAATGATATGAAGAATTTGAACATTCCCTAGTCGATAATGATTGGTCAACATACCGGACAGGTGCCGAAAAGATTTAGATTCTTGTATCAAGGAGGTTTGAGAGTTTTTCTCCACAAAATTTAGTCTAGAGTTTGAGACTGCACAGACAAGTGCGGAATGAGTTTCTGAATAGAGACATTTGTCTGCCCCACTATGAAGTCTTTACCGGCTCTTCAAACTTATCAACATACACGAACGGATGCAGTTTTAGAGTTAATTAGATATTTTCCTGTGAGATCGTCGAGATGACGGAGATTAGGAACGTTCATCCAGATTTCTTGTAAATCTTTATAGTCTGTGGGGCGATTGGAATAGCCTTAAATTTTGTGATGATTGAGAACATAGAAAACTAGTCAACATAATATAATATGACAGGCGAGCGAGGTGGCGAGTCATAAGGATAAGATCAACTTTCATATAGTCTATTAAGTTTGTGATTAAGTGGCGGAAGCAACTAGACTGAGTTTTCTTATGATGAAAACTTTCTTCTAGAAACAACCTTAGTCTCAAGAACTCGAATAATGAGGTTTTTGACGAAATGCATTAATAAGTACAGTATTAGCAAAACGAGTAAAGCAATAAGAACCTCGGTCGACATCTATGATGACAAGATAACAGAACAAATACCAGGGATCTTTTCCATCTGTTCCACAATGGGATTTCCCATTCGAAAAAACATGATATTTTGTTTTGAAGTTCTCGTCAGTTCGTTTCCAAGATTCAATGTGGACCCCTATAGATGCATAGGCATTATAGCGATTATGCCAGTCTTTAGAGCGTTAAGACGATTTTCCAGGGTTTAATCTCCAAACGAAAATCTCCACATCGACCCCGAAACTAGAAACGATCCACTGATTCACAGGTACTTGAACAAAATAATTCAAAAATGCTGATGCGATTTGCTAAACTCTCAACCCTAAATCGACGTCTGTGCAAATACATCGCCAACTTGCCAAGACAGCCCAATCTTCTGATACGAAGCTTCTTTTCCATGTGTCCCCATGATGATCATCAGAACTAAGAGGATGGAAGATCAGTACGACCTCCAATTAACTTCAGAATGACATCAAGTCATCGTGTCAATATCATGAATCTCGAACTTTCAATCCTGAATCCACGAGTAAGCAGGTACATATGTACCTCATGATTCACCACTGATCATCACGAAGCTTTTGAATCTTCATGTCTTGCGGTCCCCCTTCTTTTTGACCTCTTCCCTTTTCTTCTACCTAGCTAGTATAAGAACCAATTGATACCAGTAAGTAGCCCTGGGTATCATCCTACATTCCTTGCAAATTTTCATGCAGTCAACGACTCTTCTTGCCTATTTTTTCATAGCTTCATGTGTATTCCTAGTTTTCCATGCAGTTACGTGGCTGCCATGAATGTGCACGGGGCAGCACGGACCCTTGGTTGATTCCGTCGAGGTAAGCGAACTACGATCCTGTCAAAAGCTCCAAGCGGTTTCATTTCATCAATCACCCTTGTTTTGTCACCAGTACCCTCAAACACTTGCCAAAATCACAATTTCGCCTCTCTGCACTAGCTATTCTGCACAGTGCCTTGGTACAGTATCATTGAGTGAAGGAGGCAAATAGGGAACTCCGAAGTTTATACTTATTTTTCTCCGTGCTTTATCCGGCATCATATGCACTTTTTCACATGGTTTGGTGCTTACTAGCCCCTTCTTATCATTGTGCCTGTCTCAGACGCTAAAACAGTTGATTTTCACTCCATAGTAGGAGAAGGAAGGAAAGGGCACTAACGGGCCCTGCTGCATACTACCTTACAGACTGGAGATAATATATTAGGAAAATTACATATCCCCACTTGAACCCTCGCTGGGTCGGTCCAAGTGTCTGGCACTCCTTGAGTATATCTTAATCCTGTCTTTTCCTTCTCTTAGAGTCTTCAAGTGGATCGAGTCCGTTTATATGTTTCTTTCTCCGCTATATTAATATATATGCCACATTCCTTCATCCACAATTGAGTATCGAACTTTCTTTCCCACACCCATCGAAACGGAAAATCGAGCCGGGAGCTTCGATACGGATCAATTCCTAATATGGCTCATATTTCCGAGTACTTGGTCGATGCTACGAGCAGTGTTGGCTTATGTAACTTAATAGCTCGCGAGACGGGGGTATCTTCTTCACCTCAAGATATTGTATGTCATTCTCTTCGTGGCCAAGCTGGTTTTTGCTCACATTATATTTAGCCTTCAGAATCCCCAGTTATGGAAGAGAAAGAAAAACATATTTGGCGAATGCATCAACCTAGTGAAGCACCACGAAAATACAGTATATTTCCTTCCAAAGAGAAGCCATCAATTGGCTCAGATCGACAAAGTCCAGAATCCTCATTGGGAGAGAAGCACAACGTTCAAAAGCCCAAAGAATTGAACAAACGAAGGAAGCCAAGTGTCACCGAATTAGGACCAATGACTACTGTACATGAAGTTTCGATGGATTCCCGTAAGTAGCTTGAACATCTTATAAGGATGCCTGAAAATAACATTGAATAGCTACTATTCCAGGACGACCTCCTCTACACGAAAGATCTTTCAGTGCACCAGGTGGTAAATGGAGACAGCATACATATGGCGAATCTTTAGTTGCATGTATTGAGGGACCAATTCTAGATGAGAATGCAGAGATTGAACACGAAATCAATGAATCCAACTTTTTCAAAAGACAACGATCAAATTTTAACTGCCGTTCGAAATCACCCAAACCACTTTCACCAAAATCTTTGGCTCCTCTATATATCCCATCCAGAAATGCTCCAATGCCACCAAGAATTCGTACTCAGTCTTCACCAAGTACACTTAGATCACCAATGCCACCACAAGTGCCACCAAAGTCTGCTAGAATGATGGAGCAATCTCCATATCATAGATCTTCTCCTTACACCCCTTCATCATCTGTTAGTGCTTCTACAGCAGCAACCACTCCAAGTTCTCCACGAGAAGGACGATCTTCTCCGAAACCTTGGATGAGCACTGGTCGATCATCACCAAAACCATGGATGAATTTACTCTCCGGACGATCATCTCCTAAACCGACCAAAGATGCTTCATACATCATGCAGCAAAGCGCAAATTCCAGCTCAGTCACTCTTCCACTTCCAACCCCTCGACGAAAATCCCCCGGTCATTTTCGCAATCAATCCGAGAACTTCGTTCGACAGCCACGAGCTGGAAATCTTAGTCACGATGTACCTCATAGACGAGGGGGGTCTGAATCTGGTCCCTCAATCATGGATCGAGGAAGACCTAAGAAGCGAAGTGATGGATCACCCATCAAAGCATCAGCTCCCAGGCTCTTACCTTCAAAACGCTCTCCTACTTCCGAGGAGCAATTGGCTTTCGAATATTTACCACATGGTGTCAAGGCTGCTCAAGCAAGTTCAAAATTGACTCAAACGGAAATGGAGACACTTAGATGTCAGGCTATTGGCCAAGTTTGTCGCTTTGAGGTTCTCAATTCAAGAGATGTTGATTCTCTTTCAAGAGTATGTTATTACCCCTCCACTCCCCCAAATCCTACTAACAAACCCAGGAACTCCGCGCTCTCGACGAACGCTGTCTCTACCTCCGCAAAACCCACCGTTCCCTCCGTGCCGGACGTCGCAACCTGCACGATCGCATTTGTACCTATCTCCGCTCGCCGCGCACCGCCAAATTCTCCCACGATGCCATTCTCAAACAAGAAGAAGCACTCTCGGAACTCGATTCCTCCATCGACGACTGGATATCCAAACTCGATCAGGCTGAGAACCGACGCACGCGCGTGCGTCAAAAGTTATTGGAACATGTTGCCGCTGCGGTCTTTATGCCTGTCACTCCTCCTTCTGTTAGAAAACATCATAATAGTGTAAATACCATTACACCACCACGCAGTCCCATCAAGGGAATTAGTCCTGTGCGAGAAAGTCATCGCACCGTCGATGTCATGACTCCGCAACCGCGACTTTCCGAGGCGGAACTCAAAGAGAAGAAAGAAACCAGACGCAGAGCAGTAGAATCTATTCGCATTTATGCGGACTCGGATGTCTTTGCTCTGTTGGCCGATGTGGAAGATGAGATTAATAGAATGGGCGATCCTAATTTATATCCTTCGGATGAGTCCCAAGAAGAGAAAGTAGTAGCTCAGCCACAAGCTCCACGAAACGAAAAGGTTACTGAAGCTTCCCAAGCTGATTCCCATTTCTCATCTTCTGCGCCCGCGGTACCAATGTCGCCTTTCTTACTCAGACCAATGGTTTTCACCATGCCTGCTGGAAAGCAAGGTGTTAAGATTTAAATCTCTCCCTACCTGTCCTCCCCTATCTATATGCTCCTTTATTCATGTTGGCGATTCTCCCATACTTCTTGGTATTTCCCCGCATTAATCTCGTTGGCGTTTTATTTTCCGTGTAGAAACGTATAATGACTTTCACGATTCACATCGTCTGCTATGATATGGCTGTTTTCTTTTTTGGTAACTCTAATTTTATTATTCCTTTTTTCCTTTTTGTTATACTCGATTCTATGATACCAATTTTATTTTAATTCTTAAAAGGGGATTGTTGGCTTGGGGAGATGTTATACTATACTGTCTATCATTTGGATTTCTTTTGTATTATGGGATGGATGGATTATGGATGGATGGATGGATGATTATGGATGGGTGGATGGACGGGAGGATGGATGGATGGAAGGGAGGATGGAATGTGTCAGGGTTTTTCTATTGGGAGGATTTGGGGTGGAATGGAAGGGAATGAAAATGAATATATAGAGCTACAGAGATTAGCTATCAAAAAAGATATGAAAATAGGTAAATATCCATAGGATCTGGAAAAGGGATGGCATGAGAGCAAATGAATTCATCTTCTATACTACATTAAAACTGCTTTATTACCAAATGAAAATCGTGACAATTGTATCGAGACCTCTTCCTCTTCTCTACCATCCTCCCATCCTCCTCAATCCAATATTACTCAAAGTTCTCCCGTCTATAACCCCACTCCCTTCCAATTTCTCTCCATTTCCCAACATCAACTCCGTAACCACCTTTCCCATTTCCCTGGTCGGCGTATATAAATTCCTACCCACAGTCCTTACCACCGGAGAAAATCCTATATCCACCAGCTTCAAGAAACCTGTTCTCTGCGGCGTAAATTCCTTGATCTCATCATGTTGAGAAGCATCCACTGCGGCTGGTCTGACATTATATACTTTAAGATTTTCACAACCCTTTTCCGCAGGAAGAGCAAGTAATTCGGCTTCAGTTTCACCCTTTACAACTCCAAACATCATAGTTAGCTTACCAGGGGATGGGGTTGCGCCTTCGCCGGATATGTAGAGGAATTTGAAGGGTTTAGGGACGGAGAGAGGGGAAAAGGCTCGCGCGGCGCGGAGGGTGTAGGTTTTGGTTATTTCGGTGTATTTTCTGTGATGGATTCGTTAACATTATTCTTCAAAGTGATAAACTCCCATCCGCGCAAAGTATGAAAGAAAACTCACTCCTTATCCATTCCCACACTACTAATACCCAAAGCCCAAACACAGCCCTCTGCTCCCTTCAATTGTTCCAAAACAGTCTCCGGGTAATTTTTAAAATCAGAGTGGATGATGACAGTTGCCTTTTCGCTATTTGCATGTGTTTCAGCAAGAGGAACAGGCTTTCGAGAGAGGATTGATATTTTGGTAACTGAAGGATGTATGAGCATCTGGTGGAGAATGCCGGAACCGACGAGACCGGTTGCGCCGGTTAGAATTAAATGCATGATGTTTTTGGGAAGAGTTTATGGTGGAGGTGGGAATGGTGGTGAGAGTTGTAAGAGAGGAAGATTGAGGAATCGGGGTGAGAAAGAAAACTTATTGTGATATGAGGAATGAATGAATGAATGAATGAATGATATATAATTTCACATTGCAGGTAAAGACGAGAGAGCTGACGAGGCTACTTGAAGAGGCTGTTATCCGGAACACTTGACCCCCGCTGTTGTGGATGAACAGGGGGGAACTAGTGCGAGTGACCTGCAGCCTGCTGACACAACCAATTACATTCCAGAATCAAATGCAACTGGCTGACCCAAATTAATTTGGTTTGTTTGTTTGTAGGCTCGTTGACGGCGTGAGATACACAATACCAAGCGCCAAAGACGAACGCCTTACGAAATTATTGGACAATGAGAGGTTCGCTCTCTGATAATTCACGGAAGCCCCGTCGGAAAGACTGCAGAGAGTTGGCAATAGTAACCTTAGGTATGAAAATGTCTTTCATGTTGTCTGCCCATCACAGGTTCAAGCTGACTTTTGGTGATGGAGACATGTTAGATGAGTACGATGGTGCATTTACGTTCATTGCAGTGCCCAATCCTTGCTACATACCTTACAACAGTCAAAGCCAGCACAAGATCCGCGCAGGCGATGATGCGTCAGCCCAGTCAAAGAGATCTCTCTTCCAGGGCACGAAATTTGTACCGTAGGGCCGGCACAATATTGTGGAAGTCAATCACATCTACACGAAAAATGTGCTTTCTACCGCCCTAAACAATTCGCAAACAGATTCAGGTGTCAGGATGACATCTATTCGAAAACCTACCTCCTTCAAAATTCACATACCGTACACGAACATGATACGGAACGACTGCAGGGTTGATGACAGTGATTGGATCTATCATCGACTTCATCGTAATAAAGAGACTTTACTGCACAAGCACGACCACCTCCCACGAATCAAACCACAAATGATCGGAATAAAGGAGCACGTATGGGGAGTTCCCCAAGAAATATCAGATATATCTTCTAGACTTCTGCGAACATTGATTCAGAGTGGGACGAGCTGGTGTAAGGATGAATTATCCTGGTCGCCATGCATCCTCACATTGATATTCAGGAACTCGCCGAGTTTATTACAAGGTAAGAAGACGTGTCAACCCCCACGGGAGGTATCTCGTTTCTTCATCTGAAGAAAATGTAACCAGGTGGGTATCGTCTGTCTTATTTTCCTATCACGTATATCGACATCTTACCAGCCACTGGTGGGGCTCTGGCTTTGAACCTTGATCCGTTTCTATTATTTGACATCCTAGAAGTCTCGGACGTTGCAAATAAGAATATAAGTAAGCTCGTATGCCTTACTCCTCGACCGCATTCCCATTTTGATAATTATCGATACTACCCCCTTGAAGTCTCGCAAGATATCATATTTTTCAATGAAGAATTATCAAGCCTACCCCACGAGTTCACGAGTAGGAATGAAGTTGTGGTGGGGTTGTAAGACACCCTCAAGTCTAAATATAGTTTCATACAATCCAGCGTCAGGAGACAGGGCGATTGCGATGCACTTTTGGTAGCATTGCATTCTTCAAGTGTTGAGAACGCAACAGTGTTGTCGCATTTGTTACCTCGAAATGGGAATCAATGATTTTGCACGTTGAAAAAATTGCTTCCAACCAGTTTTCAATATTTTCCAAAATGTTAAGTAGTTTGGTGATGCATATAGCATAAAATGCAATGCACAAATTCACATATTTTGGTGTGCACGGAGTGATATTCGAGTCTTTTCTTCAACCACTTGTGGTATCGAGGGGTTTACGCCTTTATCTCAATAGGTAATTGCAGAATCTTGAACCCGTCCCCTTGAATTATCGCATTTTATTCTCTGCATACGGTATGTATGGATATTTTGGTAATCAGCGTTTCTTGGTTTGATGTGTGGGTGCATGTGATTCGGTGCGTGGTTAGAATGGTAGTCATATGAAGTAGGCAGAATTCTTCACGATGATTGGAGTATGGTTTACGAGCTCTAAAAAACGGCAACAAGTGGTGAATATCAGGGGTTTCATTTGTCGGTCAAGAGGTTAATGTCAGAGCCATCAGACATCTGTTATCAGCGTACTCGAGGGAAATTCCAAGATGAGGATAATGTATTCTTCAACTTAGGTAAGAACATTAAGGGAATAGAGCACAGGAAAGAGAATCGCAGCTATTGTATTAATGTTGGAAGAGCGAGAAATGGAACGAATATGCGGATGATACCGTGAAGATACTGACCGACCTTGACAGACTCAAAATGTTATAATGTACCTAGTAACTACCTAGGTAGCTCTGAAAGCAAATAAATTGGAATCGATATGTATTGAAAAGAAACTGACTGCGTAAGATTCTGTCAAGTCTGAATATCGTAAGAATAAGAAATACAAATTGGCTTCCGAAGCTAATTTAGGAAATGCACTCGACGAGGAGTCTTCTTTCTCTTGAATATTATGCCTTTACTGTATGACTCATTAACTATATGCTTGAATAACAATTCTGTCTCGGATTCTATTGTATGCCTTCAATAGGATGCGCATTTCCAGTATGGAAATTAAATCTATGTACTGCCACTCTCTCGTCGTGTTGCTTAGTCAGCTAACCAGATCTCACATCGATAACGTCAAGAACTCTTGCTCCACCCACTTTCCATATAAGAGAATCAAATGGCGATATATCACAATCGTTAGTTGTTCCTTATTGAGACATGTCAAAAGCAATTTAACTCATAAAACATTCCTCGCGTCTTAATCGTACTCCTAGTACTTTCAATCGGGTTTTCATCAAAAGCAATATGTTGACATTTGCCACTTCATTCGGCTGAGAGGACTCCAACTTCCTTCGCCCATCCTCAAAATTGAAGTTACACATGCAAACTGAGCTCCTATCCACGTGCTCACTTAATAAGCAATATTGATTTCGACTCTATCATGCTTCGAGGTTGCTTTCGACGGCCATTTGCGACGTTGAGCACATCTTTGACTGCGCGTCATCCTAGGCACCTCTTCCCATACTCGCCAGACGCGTTGCCATGGACAAGCTTGGGACAGAAAGGTGATCTACCTCATGGTATCGGCCTCTGCATCAGAAGTTTGGCTCATGTTGCCGCTGCAGCGACGGAAAGTATTCCAGATGAGACGGTCGCTGCTGTCCGGGGTATTGGGCCACCCAGGCCCCTGTTACCACCATCTCCTGAACAACAAATTGCCATTGACACATTATTACATACCAAAAAGAACATCATCGTTGATGCATGTGCTGGTTCTGGAAAAACGACCACCATATTGCATCTTGCACAATCTTCACCTGATACCAAATTTTTAGTATTGGTTTATAATCGGCGCTTGATGTTAGAGACAAAACAGAGGATAGAAGATTTGGGCTTGACCAATGTCACAGTACAGAACTACCATACACTAGGAGCTAGATACTACACGTCAGAATGTGCTACCGATCAAGGTCTCAAGCGAGTTGTTGAGGATGATATGACTATCTTTGAAAACACGGAACTTCCTGAGTTTTCGGTCTTGATTCTGGATGAGCAGCAGGATATGACACCGATATTGAAACGATTCGTGGACAAGGTGTTACGTGACAAAGGATTTATCGGGCCTAATCGACAGCCGAAAGCAGAACAACCGTTGAGAGTCGTGGTTTTGGGTGATAGACGTCAGGAAGTTTATGGATTTAACAATGCCGATTCGCGCTTCTTGTCCATGGCTAATCGTCCTGAAGTTTTCGGTTATATAAATGATCAAGAATGGGTTTTGGCAGATCAGACTGCCTCAAATCGTATGACACAATCCAATGTCGACTTCATCAACCAGCAACTTCTCAAAGACCCCAGTGGAAAGCCCATGCGGGCAGTAAAATCTCATGATGCATCAGGTCGGCCTTTTCCTCAACCACGTTATGTTATATGCGATCCATATGATGACTTAGTGCACGAGGTACAACGCCTTTTGGAATTTCCTGGCATATCTCCAAACGACATAATAGTTCTTTCTCCATCTGTGCGTGGTGTCTCGCCTGCAATTTATCTCGCTAAT